CTTCTCCGTGTGAGAAGAGGCTTTGCTCAGCAGTGGGCATTTATAGGCTGTTGATGATGATTGATTACATTTTGTATTTTTTCTTTTAATTGTATATTTATTGAGTAGTGTAATTGGTTTTTGTACCGTGCTATTCATAAACGCGTCGCGTTCCGCGCGCGCCTCAAAGAGCCATCAGACCACTACGGATGGGGCCCAATAGGGCTGATGCCGATACGGAGCCGCGGAGAACTTAACGGATTACCAGGGCTCCGGCTCGAAAGGCAGGAGTAGGATCGGGATGGTTTTTAGCCAGTAAGAGTCTAACACTAAGGCCGGAGAATTCACTCTATGATTTATGATTTCCCCCCCCTTAAATAAAAGGTCCAAGGGTGGCAGCGAGAGGTGCACATACGATATGTCACTACTCCATTTTCTTCTCCTCTTGTAATATCTTCTGATTCACTTCGTTGCGGGAACCTAGACAGTTATTCATGTCCCTGGGACGTTAGACTTCAGTGTTCCGGTGTTTTCATGGTTGTATCTACTGTAAATCCTGGTGCACAGGAGTTCCAGCGGTTTTGGGAGGTTGTGGCGGGCTTGTCCCATTAAAAATATAAAATATGTATTGTACATTTTGCTTGCCTTTTGGTCTTTAAAAACATAATGTTATGACTAAATGAAAATATCATAGTGATATCGACATTCGATAAAGAATTAAATATGGCTTACTCATGATGATGTCGACGGATTTATATTTTTGCGTGTAGATTATCGTGCCGCGGTTTGGGTGGAAAGTCCGTATATTTTTTGGAATCACTGCTGTTTATATTTTTTTCTTAATGTTATTTTTTTTAAGTATTTTTTTGAGGCTGCAACGTTTACAATGTTAGAAATGTGTTATAAAAAAGATTTGTTGAAAAATTTAATTATTTTTCTGTAGTTATTTCATTGATTTGGGCAGATTTTAAGTAAAATCTTGCTGAGTTTTCGTATTTTTAGATTTCAAGTGAAATTAGGCATGAAACTATTACCAAATTCTTAGAGCTTGCAAGCTTCATACTCTAAATAATACATTACATTTTGAATCTTAATATATAGCAATAAGATTGAAAGCTCTTTCGTCTAAGTATGTAGTTTGATTAGCTGGTAGATGTCGTGCACATCAAACTACCCTTAACAACACATTACATTTTCAATCTTAACATCTTGACAATAAGATTAAAAATCCAATCAAACAATAGGCTAGCTTCATCTGCTGGTCCCGTAGTTTCATTCAAATGTGGAATCATCTCAATTGGCGCGCATGTCAATATAAAATCAGTCATGGCGGCACCTTTCCTAGTTTACGTGACATTTTGCCAAATATGGCAGCTACAATAACAATAAAAATGGCTAATCATCGTTCGTCGACATTATTTTTTACATAACTTTAGATATTTTGTGATAATTTCAAGTGTGTGATAAGATAATATTCTTATGTTGTGTTCTCTTTGCGTCCGTCCATTTTCCCGCGTCATCGTGAGTATTTGAATTTGGAATTTTATTTTTTTTATTACAATATTTAGTTTATGGTCTATTTTAGTTTTTTAGCGGAATATTAGCGTTTTGTTTCGTCTGTCGTGTTTTGTGGTAGATTTGTTAATTGTTTTTTTTAATATGGTGGACTTTTTCTACGATTTGCGGATTGGTATGTATGTCTTGGTTTTGTGGGCGTATATGTCATTGAGTTGGTGGTGTTAGGTTCGATTCCGGCGTTTAGTTGTTTGTAGGATTGTAATTATCCTTTTTGAAGGGGACTTACTGCATCGGTGGTCGGACCCGCAAGCGCGTTTACCGACTAAGGGTTCGATTTCCGATTTTAGAATCTTATCCTATTGCCAGTATAAGCTCGCCCACATACATCATAGTTATTAGTTATATTTAATACATCATAATTTGCATAGGTTTATAAAACATTATTTTCACTCAGATTTTAACTTTGCGTTTAATTATTTTATTGTATTTCTCTTTTATTGTCATTTCATGAGTAAATATAAATCTAAAATTGCATCATATTAAAACATCAGAACTTATCGATTCGTGGACTAAGTTCATAGTATATGATGATGCAATATATTATAATTTGTACATACCTATGTAGATTTGCGTAAGCATAATATGAAAAGTCTCCTATGAGGTTTAAGATCCCCGTTTCTCAAGCCAACCAACGCCAAGTACCAATGTGACTTTCCGAGTCATAGTACACACGGCTACACATCGAGCTTTACATAACCAGTATAAACTGAACGTTAAATGTGCGGAAAGATGATGCGACGCGACACCAGGATAAACTGGTTTTGTATAGATTGATGTGTGGCCATGTGTACTTCTTCTGCGAAGCAGTCATGCTAGCTAAGGAGGAGGCGGGCGCGCGTCACAGTGAGCTGCGCGATGTCGCCGCGACCGCACACGCTGCTCATGAGGAAAAATCCCTCTGTGGTTCGAAACTAGTAGCGCTTTTCTCAGTATATTTACGTTTAGTACGGTTGACGGTCGTCGAAGGAATGGTCACCCTGGGAGACGCCTTGTCGCACGAAATCGCATCGCAGCAATTCGCATCATAAACCTCAGCGTTGCAAATTGCGGCGTGAAACAATTGAAGCGTTTTGTAAAGTCGGTTTTTCTTAACGTAGTTTATAAAAGTATTTACATATGTATCGATTTCAAGCAACACTTTCCATTGACATCGCCTCATTGAAGGCGTTTTAGATAAATTTAAGCTTCAATGACGACTTTGTATGACTAATATATCAATCATATATTTAATCAGATTATGACAATGAAATACAAGATAAAATCGAACTTAATGCTTCATTGTTTATGTTGAAATTGGGTTGGCATGCGTTTGTCTTATGTCTTGTGTCGTATATTTTTGTAGAACAAAGTGAGAACCTCCTCCTTTTTGGGAATACGGTTAATGGAAATACGACCTCAGTATCATTTTAAATATTTCTACATAGAAACTCCAACTCTATTCAAAAACACAATAGGTATAAAATTGCAGTACCCACTTATAGATAGTTCAACGTCTTATGTACCTATTTATCGCTGAATGACATAACAATTCTTTAACATAGCAACAACAACTCATGTAGTGCAGAGATTGTCCAGTCAACTGATGGTAGCGTGGACTGTCCAGGCGATACGTACTTAGGTATCGTCATGAGCTAACATGTGAACAGTGACACATGTAGTGTAGGGATTGTCCAGTCAACTGATGGTAGCGTGGACTGTCCAGGCGATACGTACTTAGGTATCGTCATGAGCTAACATGTGAACAGTGACACATGTAGTGTAGGGATTGTCCAGTCAACTGATGGTAGCGTGGACTGCCCAGGCGATACGTACTTAGCTATCGTCATGAGCTAATGGTAACATGTAAACAGTGACTCATGTAGTGTAGAGATTGTCCAGTCAACTGCTGGTAGCGTGGACTGTCCAGGCGATACGTACTTAGCTATCGTCATGAGCTAATGGTAACATGTAAACAGTGACTCGTGTAGTGGAGAGATTGTCCAGTCAACTGATGGTAGCGTGGACTGTCCAGGCGATACGTACTTAGGTATCGTCATGAGCTAATTGTAACATGTAAACAGTGGCTCATGTAGTGTAGAGATTGTCCAGTCAACTGATGGTAGAGTGATTAAAGGTCGCATAGACAACCGCTAGATGCAGATCGACTGCCGGGCAAGGGGTCTTGTGTTCAAGTCCTTGGTCGGGCAAAGAATTACTGAATTTAAAGTAAAATTTACAGTAATCTGATCACCTCCTATTACATGGGACTCGTAACATAAATAGTGAAAATTGAGTGTTACATTGTACAGTGGTATTAAGCACCTCTGCCTATACCTTCGAGAATATTCGCGGAGAACCTAACGGGTAACCGGGACTCCGGCTCGACGTGCAGGAGAAGGAACGGGGTGGTTTTTAGTCAGTAAGAGTCTGACACTCCCTCCCGCCTCACCCAAGCGGGAGCAATCATTCGATGATTTTCCCCCGTTAAAAAAAAATCCCTTCGGGAATAAAAGTCGTGATATTATGTCTAAGCCTTTTAGCTATTATTACGACGATAATGAATTCACATATGAACACCAATTAAACCTTAAATAGATACACATACACGATATCATGACGCGAAAAGATTTTTAATGACACACGAAATTGATACGACACAAATGATGCAGCGATTTTTTCATTTCATTCATTATTTTTTTGATACGCACTATCATTGGTTGGTTTTATCGCATGAATCTTGTATATAGGCGTTGTACAGAGATAATAGTATAAATATAAGAGCTCTGTGATATAATATTAGTATTATTTTTAGTATTGAAAGTGTTTGCAACGGGCTGAGATAGAATACTCGGCGACACGGCGTTTTGTTCGGGAGTTTCTCTCTCTAGCCTGTTTGGATTTTGAACTTTATTGCCAACGGGTAGCTGTTATATTTGAACACCATGTATCCTTTGTTTGATGGGCCTGTCATGATGGGTGACCTATGGGCGTATTATCCTCCAGTATACAGCGCGCATCATAATACAGGCATGTGTTAATCACAATTTTATTTTCATGTGATTTCAAATCGTGTTCTTTTGGTTTTTTTTTTCAAATGTAGTTCTTTATTTGATTTGCTAACGATGTCTTTGTCGATTTTTTGTTTTGGTTTTTTTTCTATGCTGTGCAAGAAGAGTTATCTTATTATGTCTAGCCGTTCTTGAGATTTGCGCGTAGCGAACATACATTACGGTGTATTTTTTGAACTGTTCTCTATTTTCTTTTCTGTTTTGAACATTATGTTATTATGGTATTCTTCTATGACTTAATGAAGTAGTCAAATGTAACTTCCATACTAACTTAGCCGTGACAATGATGGAAATAAAAACACAATTATGCAAAAGACAATCGTTGCGCGTTTAAGTCTTTTGTTCGTACCTAAAAATATGTATAATAAAATTAAATCGAATGTCTGTTTGTTGCAGGAATGTACACGATGCGTATGCTGGACGGCGCAGGACCGCACCATGCTCCTCATCATACCCACTCACACATGATGATAACAGGTTAGTCATCATATTACGTCACAATCGGTTATCATCCCAAATTTATTCGTACATTCCAAAAAATCCCTCTGTCCCTCTATTCTTGGAGGAATTTCGGAGGATATCCTCTCCAACACTCCACTACACTCCTACATGTATTGCATGCTAGACATCCTACGATTTCCCTGTACTACTTCTGTGTGCAGTTTTACCTGTACAGTCGAAATGTACAGTTAAAACGTAAGATGTATAGCGCAATCAGTTGAACTATACAATTTAAAGGTGTGTAGACAGTATGGACCTACGATTTCATGTACAGTTCGACTGTACAGTTACACAATCTGACACTTCCTCTCGCCTCATTGAGTCAGTCCTATTTTTGGGAGTATAGTATTAATTGTTAATCAAAAGTGGCATGACCATTTTTGATTAAAAATCTCGTTTCACACGACTACGTGCCACAAATCACGTCGTCCAACAGTTTACTGCTGGGATTTGATACTTGTGTAGTTCCTCAGTCGGGTATACGACACTCGCGGCAAGAATAGCGGTGGTGACATATGTATTTGTAGTGTGACACACCCATATTTTTTCTGCTTCTATTAACGTAACTTCATAAATGAATAGACAGATTGTTATAATCTATTTCATTTAATTGTTTGTCATTATATTACGGATACAATGTCATCGTGAATATACATTTTTAATGTTTAATACGGAAAAGTTACAAAGATTACTTTTGCCTCCTTGTATGATAAGAAAACTGGCTGAAAGTGGTTTTTAAATGGACTGGCAAATAGGTCTTATACACATTAATATTTTAAAGTCAAATTCAAAGCAGTTATTTCAATTAACCCATAATAAGGTAGATGTCTAATTTTTATTTTAATGTCCGTCTGGTAGATTGTTTTAAATCATAAGACACGTATTTTTTTATTTTCTTACAGAAACGAATAATTTTGACGGTATATTGATTTGAAATGTCGCGTGACGTCACTTCTATGTACATTTTATACTAGGAAATGACGTTTTAGCCCCCACCCCTAAACTTTGATTCGTTTTGTTTAAGTATTGTTTTATTATACGACAAAATAAAAAAATACGTGTCTAATATTTTTTCATTACGGACTAATTAGATTTTTAAATATTAAATTATTGTTTTCTCATGTTCTAGAGAGAGATTCGGCCTCGGACAGCGCCGTGTCGTCGATGGGTTCCGAACGTGTGCCGTCTCTGTCTGACGGGGAATGGTGCGATGGTAGTGACTCCGCCCAGGAGTTTCATAGGTGAGCATAACATATTGTTTTAAATATACTATTAGAGGCAAAGTATTACTGGGTTTTTAAAAAAATCTCAGTAGTAGCACGGAGTCTGGAAATGTGCCTGGTATATGGCAATAGGCTCACCCCCTATTACATGGGATTCATACACATAAATAGTGAAAAGTGGGTGTCACTTCTGTGTGCACCTCTGTCTACCCCTTCGGGGATAAAAGGCGTGATGTTATGACTATTAGACTATAGAAGACGAGTTATAAACCCAGGTTTCCTCATCAAGTTTTAATTATATAAAAAGGAAAAAGTTTATTCTGTGTTTTGTGTAATTGGAATACAGATATAAAAACACAAAATTTTAGGTAGGCTAAATGAAGCTAGAACTTAACATAACATCATGCCTTTTATCTCCGAAGGGGTAGGCAGAGGTGCACATTACGGCACTTAATGCCACTGTACAATGTAACACCTACTATACACGTTTTTTGATGAGTCCCATGTAATATATCCAATGAAGCTAGAGTATCTACTAAATCAATGCTAGACTACTAATACAATACTAGACTGCACGGTTGGCGCGGTGGCTGGGCAACTGGCTACCGCGCAACGTGTCGCGGGTTCGATTCCCGCACGAAACAACTCTGCGTGGTCCACAGATTGTTGTTCCGTGTCTGTGTGTGATGTGTATGTGAACTTGCATGTTTGTAAACGCACCCACGATACAGGAGATAATCCTAGTATAGGTCAACGTTTTTTTTTTAAAGTCACTTTTAAAATGTGTTTCTATCTCTTTCACACTACAAAACAGGAACACAGACATCTAATATAAATATGTAGATCGAACTCAATAAAACAATAGATACCATAACAAAACAATGTGTGTAATCATTCAATTACTACAGCTAGGGGTACCCCGAAACTTATCGGCGTATTACGTAAAGTTATCTCGAATTCGTACGTGATGACTTGATCATTTTCGAGGTCGAAACTTATCGGAAGGAGGGAAACACGGTGAAAAAAAAAACTGTGGACTCATAGTATCTTTTTGACATGACATATGAGTTTTTAGCTTATCTCTAAAAGATTATGTTATTATGCCAATAAATATTGTTTGGAAATGACTTTTCAATTTTTTTTTTCTATCTCGGCATACAGTTCGAAATTCCGGCCGTATGATAATTCATTTGGAAGAGAACGGTCTGCGCCTCATCAGCCACAGAAGAAGCATCATATGTTTGGAAAGCGGTGCTTCCAGGTAAATATATCATCTTTATTATCATACTAGCTTTTACTCGCGGCTTCGCTCGCGTCACAAAAGGATAAAAAGCCAATGTGACATATACCAATACACACAGCGCCATCTATACCAATATTTTTGTTTTCCCTCGGGAATATCAAATTTTTCAGGGATAAAAAGTACCCTATTATTTAATCCGGACTTCTAACTTTACGTCTGCAAAATTTCAAAGCAAACGGTTCAGTAATTACGGCGTTAAAGTAGAACAAACAAACATACTCACTTTCCGATTTATAATATAAGTAAGGATAAGTTGTCCTTTCCGTAGACACATACCATCATATTAGCTACAAGATGTCCTTTCTGTAGACACACACCATCATATTAGCTACAAGATGTCCTTTCTGTAGACACATACCATCATATTAGCTACAAGATGTCCTTTCTGTAGACACATATGCCATTATAGTAGTCCCAGGAATTCTACTTATCGCATCAGCTACAGGTGTCCATTCCTGTAGACACATTTAGCAGTAATACTAAGCAATGAGTTCTGAGTTCAATTCTTGGATAATGCAAACAGTTTTTGATGTGTTTTTAGAAATATTATTACCCCTATTAGGACGCAATTATAATTTTATCTTCATTATTTACATGTCAACTTTTCCAGAATTTACTTTGTACATAGATAACTGTTATCACTTTGATAAAGAATGAAAAACCTTTAAATTTTTGTTCGAGAACAATGATGGAAATAATTATACATTTTACCTTATTTAAATAGCTATCTAACGTAAGTTTAATACACCGTGAAATCTATTTCGTTTTCGTCCCGAAGTAAAATGGTTCTGTCTCCGTAATACAATAGGTTTTACAAAGAAATGAAATGTTTAAAAACAAAAATAACTGGTGAACCATTGCAAAAAGCAAACTTCGAAAGCGCATACGAACTCATAGTATATTATCAAAACATCACACCATGTAATTGTCGAAAAGATATTCTGATGTTCTGTACTTATTAAAAATTAAGAATATTAATTAATAATTAAATCAATAGAATATATTATCATAATTTCAACGAGAATTAATTAAAATATACAGTTCACTTAATGAAACTCTTTTTGAGACAAGTTCAACTAATTTCGGGCCACATCGGAACGCATATTCATGAACACATATACTTAAAATAGGTCAATCTTTCTTTCACTGGTATTAATCTTTTTTCTTTTCCTTTCCTGCAGGAGCAACCAGCTCCTACCCTAGATCCTGTCGGTAGACCTGGAGTCGTGAAGTACGAGTGCCCAGAACAGACATACCACCATGATAACATGCATATGCATAATGGTAAGTTCACCATGCATGCTTATAATAGATTAATTATTGTCGTGGTGGCCCGGAGGTTTAAGACGCCCGCTCCTCATGCATGAGGGTGTAGGTTTGAAACCTACCAACGGCAAGTACCAATGTGACTTTTTCCGAGTTGTATGTACTTCCTAAGATTATTTAGACACCACTGACAAACGGTGAAGGAAAAACATCGTGAGGAAACCTGGACTTATAATTTCTAATTATAAGTTTAAAATCGCCAACTCGCATTGAGCAAGCGTGGTGATTAATGCTCTAACCTTCTCCGTGTGAGAAGAGGCTTTGCTCAGCAGTGGGTTATAGGCTGTTGTTGATGACTGTGAAAAAAGAATCTCAGTAGAAACACAGAGTCTTGAATTGTGCCCGGTATATGGCAATAGGCTCACCCTCTTGACATGGGACTCATAATATAAATAGTGAAAAGTTGGTGTTACATTGTACAGTGGTATTAACTGCCGTAATATCCACCTCTGTCGGGGATAAAAGGCGTGATGTTAAGTTATGTATGGATTTGCAAGTAATCTTAACATTTTGCGTTTAATTCAGTTCCAGACTTCGCTCCTAGACCACAGCTGGCCCCACCGCACGTGACCAACCTCCACGCCCCAGCGCTGGACCTCAACACTGCACACTCTAGCCATGCCCTGCTACAGGTATGTAATATTTTTGAACAATTTTGTATGATTTTTTTAAAGGAATTAATCAAAAGTGGCAGTGCCACTTGTAATTCAAAATTCGACTGTTTAAAATCGAATTGTTTGGATAATTAGACTAAATAGGCTCTATCGGTACCTTATAAACTGCAATCTTTAACCATCATCTTCTACTTCAACTTATTCAAGTGGAAATTTTAATCAAATATTGTTCTTTAATTGTGTCTATAATGACGGTACTCAAAAGGTTGAAACCGTTAAACATGAACAATATATTTATGTATTACTTATTTTTAATTCTTATTTATTTAATTTACAGAGCAATATCCCGAGCCCGGCTCCGCCCCGCTTTGCGTACGGCACCCCGGAGCGCGTCCGCCACAACCACACGTACTCCGCGCCCATCGCTGCCAACGACCAACGACCCGCCGCTGTACGGGACAAGAGAGGTAATTCATATTAATAAGTATTATTAATATTCAATACAATATTATACATACGAAAGTTTGTGAAGATGTATGGATGTGTGTTGCTCTTTCACTCAGAAACAGCGAAACTTGACAGACATAATAATATGTTGGAATACTGAAACGCTACTCAATTTTAAGTCGCGCTTAAGTATAGTTCTATCTCTACAAATTCTTTGTAAAATGACAGAGATGGCACGATATTTGAGCACGACTTAAAATTGAGTAACGTTTCAGTATTCCGGCAATAGATTTGTATTGTAAAGAGACTTCCGACTGGTTTTGTCGCCTTTAAAACAGCTATGTATTGATATTTGCAAACCCAGTAATCGAAGATAAGTCTAGGCATCTGGGTATATAATTTACATTTAAGAAACCATATATATTTACATTTTTACAGAACATAACCCAAATTTTGATTATCAGTATTTCAAATATCAGAAAGATTCAACAAATCTATACCAGGCAAAGACAAATTCTTATTTTCTTGACTTTCACATTCGACCTTGACCTTCAGTATTGACTTTGACCTTCATTATTGACTTTGACCTTCAAATCGTCCATATTGTTTCCAGTCCGGCGTCTAACAGACGGTAGCATGTCAGACGGTGGATCCTCAGCCACAAGCAGTGGACAGCATCTGTCCAGGGACGAGAAGCGAGCTAAAGCACTAGGTAAGGACGAATACTAATTGAATTTGTACTTTATTTTTCGATCAATAAGATTTGTTTTTGAGTGCAAACTGTGATAGTTGGATAAAATAACTTTTTGTAGTTATATTTTACTAGCTTTTACCCGCGGCTTCGCTCGCGTCACAAAAGGATAAAAAGAAGCCTATGTAATATATACCAATACACGCAGCGCCATCTATACCAATACTTTTGTTTTCCCTCGGGAATATTTATGTTTTCCGGAATAAAAATTACCCTATTATATAATCCGGACTTCGAACTTTACGTCTGCAAAAATTCAAAGCAATCAGTTTAGAAGTTACGGCGTGAAAGCGGAACAAACAAACAAACAAACTCACTTTCCGATTTATAATATCAGTAAGGACTTTGGAATACTTTCTAAAAAAAATTACTGCTATAATATGCACCTCTGCCTACCCCTTCGAGGATAAAAGACGTGATGTTATGTTATGTCTATAGCCGATCGTCTCGGTGAAAAGGTTAAAAAAGTAGTAAAGTACTTTCTCTTCTTCCTCTGCTTACCCCCTGTTCACACATTAATCTGTCCAAGTGATTGCAGGGATTCCCTTGGAGGTGCAAGATATCATTAACTTACCAATGGATGAGTTTAACGAGCGCCTGTCGAAACATGACCTGAGCGAGGCACAACTATCGCTCATACGGGATATACGGAGACGCGGGAAGAATAAGGTACGTTGAACGTCAAATGTTGAATGTTTGATAGTCAAAAATTGAATCTGTTAATAAGGTACGTTGAACGTCAAATGTTGAATGTTTGATAGTCAAAAACTGAATCTGTTAATAAGGTACGTTGAACGTCAAATGTTGAATGTTTGATAGTCAAAAATTGAATCTGTTAAAAATGAAAGTCAAATTATGACATTTGGACAAAGTCTCAAAGCATTTATTTCAATTAAACCATAATTTTGTACTTTGGACTGTCAACAAATATGAAAGAAATAATAGTCTGTCAGTCGGTCCGTCAGTGAAGGACTAGGTAAAGCTGGGTGCTCATTCATCATATAAATTCGAATGTAAAAGAACGAGCAAGAAACTCCATCAATACTACTATGTACAATAAATACTTCACGGTAAAAGTGGTAAAATTAAAGTTGATATATTTAAAAGTCAACGTCATAATAAAAACTTGAAAGTATAAATCAAAATGCCGCACGATTCGTGCATTCGTGCACGACGTGTACGCAACGTGTTGCGTGTTCGGTTCCCGCTTGAAACATTTTTTTTCGACTCACTTTTGTCATTGGGTAAAATATATGTCTGTAAACGCACCCACGTCACACAATCTTAGTATAAATCAATTTTTTTTTATGGCATGTGCCGGTAGTCGTGTAGACGGATCACCTGATGGTAAGCAATCGGCGCCGCCCATGGACCAGAGGCGTTACAAGTGCGTTACCGGCCTTGTGGGGAATTAGGAGTTTGAGGATCGTTGGGGATTCAGGAATTGGGGGTATTTGGGAAGGAGGGTAATTGGGCCTCCGGTAACCTCACTCACATGACGAAACACAACGCAAGCGTTGCTTCACGTCGGTTTTCTGTTCGGCCGTGGTATCGCTCCAGTCGAGCCGGCCCATTCGTGCCGAAGCATGGCTCGCCCACACTTTTAAATAAAATTTAACAAAAATCTTCAAATCTCCAGGTGGCAGCCCAGAACTGCCGGAAACGCAAACTGGACCAGATCACATCCCTCGCTGACGAGGTCCGCACCGTCAGGGACAGAAAGCAGCGGACGCAGAGGGAACATAGCTCCCTACTAGCTGAGAGGCAGCGGGTCAAGGAACGATTTGCAGCGCTCTATAGACATGTATTCCAGGTCAGTAAAAAATTATAGAGGTACTAGCGGACCCAACAGAGGTTGTCCTGCATATCCTGCATATGTGCCTGTTATTTCACAAGACCTTTATGTATTACCTTATCATGCAAATAAAGACTCTGAGTATTGAGTTTTGGATTTAAAAAAAACCTAGTTAATACTTTGTCTGGCCTGTGAGCGAGACCCCTTGCCACCACTCGCACTTGCGACCACTCGGCCAACGAGGCAGTGTCATTAATGTCGCTATTTCCTCGACAGAACCTCCGCGACCCTGAAGGTAGACCTCTGTCATCCCAACAGTACTCCTTGCAGCAAGCCGCCGACGGCAATGTCGTTCTTGTACCGAAAATGCCACAGCACCAAGGTAAGGGAATTTAGCCTTTATATTTTTTTTATTTATTTATTTACACTTCATGTAGGTATACAATGGCGGACTTAATGCCTAGTGGCATTCTCTAACAGTCAACCTTATGGTGATGCAGAGAGACACAATAGTAGGTGTAAACGTTTAACACTTATTAGAATGACACAATAATTAACATTACATATAATTAACATTAAAATTAATATCAAATATAATTATACATATCACACAATATATACTAATTAAATAAAATGAAGAAGTATTAAAATATATACGTAATGCAAAACGAACAGTAGACAAATAAGTATGGGACATATATATACCTATCTATACGAAGGAATATTATATCTTTAGACACAGAGTTTATTTTGATATGTTTCTATAATAGCTATCGTGAGACATATTAACTCGTTGAGTACCGTCATTATAGACACAATTAAAGAACAATAGGTTGCGGTCACCGGTGTCCTCGCGGTGTTTGACAGTTTAAAAAAAACAAATTCATTAATTTATTTTTCTTTTAATTACAGATCACCCAATGAATCGCACTAATGACGATGATATGGATAGAAAAGCCAAGAGCTACGACCAGTAATTCCGCCTAACCAGTTCCCGAGATGGTAAAACACAAACACACAAGACTACAAACAACGCAATAATTGTTAATATACAACTGTAGTGATAAAATCTAAAAAAAATACCCTTTGTTATCTGTGACTACAAAGTCAAACGTCAAAATTGATTTTAACAAGACATTTTAGACTTTGAAAGCTTACTAATAAATTCTATAATTCAATAACTTATTATTTAAATAAATGGCTATATATACAACCTCTTTTCATTACAATTTTTTTTAAATACATTTAAATCATAGAGTAAGAGTTGTTTATGGTAAATGGTTTTATTGAGCTTTATTCTGCCAATCAAGCCCTTTCGTTTGATATCCATAATGCTGGTAGTTGTGGAAACAATTAGATAATATTGTATGGTCATCAAGGTTAAGAGTGTGTACCAAATATCAGATCGATTTGTCGTCAGGAAGGGGGTGAAATACCAATTACTAAAGACACAAACAAACAAACGAAGAAAGCTGAATAAAACCGTTCATTAATAGAAAAAAAATCAACGGTCATATTCAATTTGCAAATCTGACAGCTGACATAATTGATTTTGACGTTTGGCGGGAATATTATTTTGCTTACCAATAAAAAATAATTAGTTATTTTACCGATTAACTTGTGTTACCAATCTGTTGATAGGTTAATGTTTAAATTAATATTATCGATGTCTCAAAACGAATTAGCTATCTTTTATTTTCTGTGCGTGCATTAAAAACTCCTTTAAGATTTAATTTCATTAATATGGACATCGTTTTGGAATCGATTTTAATATTGAATTCATTATAAAAAACATATTTAAATAGTCTTAAGTCCTTCTCCGTATTCCCAACTATATGTATGTAGGCACAAATTAACGAAGATTGCTTGGGTAGGTCAAGCGAAACGAGGTATTTTTTGAAAATACAATGTTAAAATCGATTTTAAAACCAAAATATGCTTTTAGAAAATGAAATTAGGCCTTTACTTATGTCTAGTATAGTCTATTTATCAGTCTATAGGCTATAAAATATCACGCGATGATTAATAAGAGCCGAGTGAAACCGCGGAGTGTCTAGTAACACTAATATTGCCTAATTTTATTTTCTTTAAGTTGAATTTTCTTTTTGAACACAATGATATAATCCAACTTTGTATAATAAGTCAGGATTGAAGCAAGTCTTATGATAATTGTACACTTTAAATGATTTTTCCGTAATAGGCATTTTAGTCTAAGGAAGTGTTAAAAAAAACTAAATAAAGAAGAAAAAATATACATTTGTATGTGATATCTATGAAAGAATTCCATTTATTTTAGTTAAAAATATTAGTGGTTTTTGAAAACTTCGAGTGCTGCCGCGTCTAGGTTTTTTATTGAAGATTTTTTCGCGATTCTTTTATTGTTGGTGACGCCATGATACTTCTAGTGGTGCAGGCGTATAATCAGGACAATTGTAAGCTTTGTTGCTCATAAAAATACTGTTACGACCTTTGTCCATGGTATACAGAAACCACAGAGCGCCACTTTCTACGCTCCTTACATACTTCTTTAGCTTCCATCACATTCATACATCTGATGGTATACAGAAACTACAGAGCGCCACCTACTACGCTCCTTGCATAGATTTTTAGTTCACATCGCATCAAAAAAATCTTCTGTAAAAAAATAGACGCGAAGTGATTTTTTTCTTGTATTTTTTTTTTTGAAAAAAATTGTTCGTCTTTAATTTATGTATGTATGTATGTAGTAAATTTCTTTTTTTATCAAACATGTATAAACAACAAATTTGTTCCACATTAAAAATTATATTTGAGTGAAAAAATATAGTGAAAAAACCGAAAATGACTGAAAAAAGTAACTATCATAATGAAGAAATAGATTTTTGTAAAGATTAAATAAAAAATGGACGTTTCAAAGCGTCTTTGGTTGCAATAAGTAATTTTAAGGACAAAAGCTTTTGTAAATTATCAACTTTTTGCCCCTAAATAAGGTAGTAATAAGTTTAAGTTTAATTTAAATTTATTTAAACAAAAAAATGTTATTTCTTGTTTTATTTTTTTTGTAATACTTAGTTCGTAAGCTAGTGTTTAATTAAACGTCAGCTTAAAATGTTGGTAAAAATAAAATAAATAATTTTTATAACATATAGACCTAAGTTTTTTTTATAAAACATAACTTCTATTTAGCAGGTTTTTACTGACTGTCAGATTTGCTGACTGTCAGCAAAATGTCAGATTTCGGACTTAAATGAGTGAAGGAATCGCCATGAATGTAAAAATATGTTTTTTTTTACTCAATTTGGTGATTTCCAATATTGCTTTTTACCATTGTGTAATATGAAGCATGGGGTTAAAATAACTCATTTTGAGGTGTTAAATACAAGTTAAATTTTTTAAACCCAATGATTTTGAGCTGATAAAACCACTAATGTTCAAATACTAAATGCCGCTCAAGTTTAACTCGTTGAGTACCGTCATTATAGACACAATTAAAGAACAATAGGTTGCGGTCACCGGTGTCCTCGCGGTGTTTGACAGTTTAAGACGTTCTCAATAGTTCTGTCTCTATAAATTCGTATTAAAATGACAGAGATGGCACGACTTGTTTTAAATTTGAGTAGTTTTTTAGTATTTGAGCGTAAATTAATTATAGTGACTCTAATTTTTATTGTTAAGTTAAAACCTTTGATAGTAACAATTTGAACTACAATAACTTACTATGCAATTAAGATCAATTTTGTTTGAAACCTAAAATTGATTAGCGACCTTATAGACACGATACTGTTATTTGAAAATGAACTTTAATGTTAATGAATTAAGGTTTATATTTGTGTGTATAAGAATGAAATTTTAAGTATATTTTTCTCCTATGGATGATAAGCTAAAATAGCTCTTATGGAAATTGTACTTCAAATTGTTACTATCAACGCATTGTATGTATAAAGATAAGAAATATCTAAAAAATAAATTTATGATATTTGTCGAAAAACGTTTTTTTTTTTGTTTTGATCGTTTTTTTTTTACCCTTGACTGATTTCAAAGTACATATAATATAATTATGAAAAATAAAACATTATTTCTGCTTTTTATGTCCATTTTTCATTGCTAAAATGAAGCGAATTCAATCCAAAATATTACAAACTTCCATGGAATAAAACTAAATCAAGAATAACTTCACAAAAGCAGTAGTTTTTGACAAATATCATAATAACCTTTGCCTACATTAAGTGCATACTATCCACGCATCAATATGAGTACAAACACCGCTTAACTGCCAGGCCCCCAAGCGGTTACCAGTGACTGCTCATCACTTACTCCATAATAGACCTTATTTCGAACGTTTAGAGACTACTTTTATATGAACAAATCAGTAGGCTGCGCGACGTCGCCGCGACCGCGCACGCTACTCATGAGGAAGAACCCCTCTGTGGTTCGAAACTAGTAGTTTGAATTTTCCAACATAGCCTATGTTACTTTTTAGTACATCAGGTACCTACCAATAAAAGTCCTATCAAAATTGGTCTACCCATTTCGGAGATTAGCCAATACAAACAGACAGATAAAAATTAAAAAATAAATATGTTGGTATGTCATCGTTTGTATATTAATATGCATGTAGTAAAAAGCTGTTATTTTAATATTACAAACAGACACTCCGATTTTATTTATCTGTATAGATTTTATATTATTTTATTTACTGTAAGTTAATCTACAAGGTGTTGTTTTAAAGCCGCGTCATTTTCTAGGAGGTAACTCGGCTATCGATTCTGAGTCCCAATCAATAAAAAATATTGTAGGTAAATATTTTTATTTTTTCTGTAAATTACGGAAATCCGTAAGTGTGAACTACACGCCGCCGTCTTGTAACTAGCTTTATAACGTGGCTTAACACACACAAACTCAAACACGTAGTTAATTGATATTATTCCTAATTCCATAAAACTCCAATAGGAAGCATTGTTGTCGCTTTTTCTGAAATATTGTCCAACTTAAACGATTTATTATAGCCGTATTTTTAACTATTGGCCTGAAATTTTCTCTTACATTGAACCTTTATGACTTCTGTGACATGCCCCCGAGAAATGACACGGCTTCAAAACTACACCTTGTATTTGTTTAAGTTATTAGGTGCGGGTAGAGCATTTTTAACTTAAGTTTTTAATTAAATATACCAAGCTATACGATTACTGGCTGTGGGATATATTTTTAGAAATTACGTCGAGAAAATTAAAAAAAAAATGTCTTATTATTTTTTTCTTTTTATTGTTTTATCTGATGTTCTCGTTTTCAGCAATCACTCTTAGCTTTTAGAGACTCCCTAAGCTATAAGTGACTTAACGATGTTTTGGTTTTCACCAGCGAGTGACACCTAAACTTAAGAGGTTAGTTTTGGTACTTACGTTAAATAACTCTAAGAGATGGTTTAAGGGGAAGTGAAAACGGTCATTAGTATCACATTTTTTTTACTTTGTTTAGTTTAAAAAATGAAGTAAAAAATGATCATTTATAATAGAGCAGAGTCGAGAATTGTGTCGTGTTAAAATAAATTATAAAACCAAGAATAGAATAGACTAGGTGGCAAGTGTCGCACGATATATCGGCGATATGTGAAACGATGCCTACTGATTTAACCTGACATATTGACCGCCTCGTTGCCCGAGTGGTCGCAAGTGCGACTGCCGGGCAAGGGCCAGGTTTTGCCCGACCAAGAAACCCGGCTCGGGTTTCTTGGTCGGGCAAAATATTACTGAGTTTTAAAAAAATCTCAGTAGTAGCACGGAGTCTGGAATTGTCCCCGGTATATTGTAATAGGTTCACCCCCTATAACATGGGACTCATAACATAAATAGTGAAAAGTGGGTGTTACATTGTACAGTGGTATAATGTGCACCTCTGCCTATCCCTTTGGGGATAAAAGGCGTGATGTTATGTATGGCGTTAACTCGCGCCTTATGTCCACAGCGACATTGATGTTACTAAATAATATGTTGACCAAAGT